AGAGCACCAGTATCTATTCTGAATATCCTTGGCAAATCTGCAGATACTGTTTCTGTTCTTCTGTTTTCAATGCATTGCAATTGCTTCTTGGCTGCTGCAGGGGTCAGATTGAATCACTAATGTTGCCCTTTGGGAAGAAATATATTCATAACCAGGGTTCCCTCTAAGCTGAGTTAGTGTGAGCCAGCTCACAGTTTTTTAACCTCTGGCTCACACATTTTTGTCTTAGCTCAGGAAGGATGGCTTCACAGCAAGCTAATCTATGCAGCAGCCAAATCACTTGCTCACAACTTTGATGCCGGTAGCTCACAAAGTAGAATTTTTGCTCACAGGACTCCACAGCTTAGAGGGAACATTGATAACTGGCTATAGTTGAAGTCCAGCTATAAACAGTCACTGCCATCTTTCAGAGTGTTGTACTTTTATCCCACCCACATTCAAAGAGCTCAGGGTTTTCCCTTTTCCCCCCAGTCCTCACAACAACTTTGTGAGACAAGTAAGGCTGACAAAGCATTTGAACGGATCTCCCCAGTCCTATACTTGACACACACTAACCACAGCAACCTCACAGGCTCATGTTGGTTTACTGCTTAAGTGCTGGGATGATAGTATGGAAGAGAAATGTCTTCTTTTTCTGTCAGTTCTCTCAGTTGATGAGGAGCTGGCTGGTTCATTTCTTTTGGGATAATCAAACACTAGATACTTGGAGGCAAGATGGGACCTGGGAAACTGTTTCTCTGCTGCAAAGCTGAGGACAAGCAGCTGGTGAAACGCTTAACCTTTCCTTACCCACCACTTACCCCTGACATTCACTTTGCCCCATTATCTTTTTTTCTCCCTGCTGAAAAAAACATTAAATAGAGAAAGGATGGAAGAATTTGCAGGAGGGAGGCAGCAGATGGAGAAGATTCAAACAAATCCATTTGCGGCTTTGCCCTGTGTATGATGCACGCTTGTTACTGCTTTGTAGTGAGGTAGAAGCCCAGATAGACTGTTTCACCCACACAGACAGTGATGGAGGAATGAAAAATAATGAGGGAGGAGAAAGAGTTTGGCCTTCAGCCTCCTGCTCTTGGAATGACAGGCGGAGAGAGCTGTGCCTCAGTAAGCCATCTTGCAGGATGTGTTGGTAGGCGGGGCTGCATTATGACTTTAAGTGGGTCCTAGGCACTTTTGCCTTTGTGGGCCCCTCCCACCATAATTATAGCAATATTTAAAATAGTTTTTGATATAACTTTAAATACTTCAACATTTTTTTCTGTTTTAGGCAAAATGTAATAGATTTTCATGGGCCCTAAAATTTTATTATTTTCTGGGTTTTTTTAAAAAAACAAACAAACATTTCTTCAACCCTAAAAGTTCTTTTTTTCTTCTGATTTTAAAAAAAATTAAAAAATTTTGTGGGCCACTAAAAGTATCATGGGCCCTGGGCACTGTGCCTATTGTATCTAATGGGTAAGTCAGCCCTGTTGGTGGGGCAAAGAGAGTGTATGCTTTGGGGGGCAGAGAGCTCTGTGGGAATGATTTTGGCAGCGCGTTCATGACTGTGATCTAATCCTTAGACCCATTTTTTCAGTCTAGTCTCTGATACAGATTATGAGCTGCCAGGGGGCAGGGAGACTGGGCCTTTTTATAACAGTTCTTTTATATGCCCAGTCTTGGTTTTAAAATCGTAATTGTTTGTGATGCCTGAACTCAGCATGGAATTCATACATTCTACAAGTATTTTCTGTGCAACATGAATGGAGTTAAGGGAAGAAGTGGTTTGCAGCGATTGTATCTAAGAAGCTTTGCTCTGGTTGTATTTTGTGATTAGCCATTACAATTTAAATATAGTTGCAGTGTTACGCCAACTGCTTTATTTACAGCAGAGGCTAACTACATTTAACGTGAGTCCTGGCCAGCTATACCAAGGTCGTGTCTGAACCCAGAGTTCCAGTAATGGAGACCACACGGGTGTTTTTCCAAAACAAATAACCTTTTTACTGAAAGATATCAAAGTCACACATACAAAATAATCAGTCTCCCAATAGCATACGTTCAAGTTCCTTTAGAGTTACAGAAATAGAAAATAGTTCAGTTACTTAGGAGGTAGGTAGGTAAATCGGTTTATACTCGCCTGTTCCATTGTCTGTTGCAATGGGAATGGGATAAAAAGTGATACCTAGGGGTTTAAGCTAAATCACACTCGCTAGAGCCAGCTAAGCAAGCATGGGCCTCTTTGGCTGCAGTTCCAAGAGATCTTAAAGTAGACAAAGGGGTTGTTGGATAGAAAGGCTGGACCTTAGGGGTAGTGAAGAAGATAGAGGTCGTGGAGAAGGAAGATGGCTAGCAAAGACCTAGGGTTTGGGTCTTTACTTTTATAGTTGAATCTCCAGGTGGGTGGCACCTTGCCAAACTGTAATCCCACCTACTTACAAGTCCATCCCATAGCTTCCCTCATTGGTGCTTGTAGAGAGGGGCAGGTATTCTATACGTTGGGCCAATATTTGAAATACTACACTCTATCTCATGGAATACCATCTGGCTAGGTGTGAAGTCTTCCTGTATCCTCTTTGAAGTACAGATGAATCTTGGCTTTCCCAGGCCTACAAGGTACCATCAACAGGAAATGGCAATTCAGATGCATATCAGGTCCGTGTTCTGCATGACAACCAGTCTCTTCAGTAATGGAAATTCTCCTTCTTGGTTGTTGTTCTGCTCACAATGGCTAACATGTGCTTCTCCTTCCCATAATGCCTTGAGCTGAATGTGTGCAAGCTACATTAACATAAAATGCAGGCAAGTGTTCCCTATGTGAAGGCTCTCACAGTAGGTGATGCAAACAGCTTCCTTTAGGCTCATGGTATACAGATATGTGTGCACAGTCCATGTGTTGCATGTGTAGCAGATATAAAACCATCAATTAGTCCATTTCTCAACAGCAGTGAAAAATGTGGAAGGTTCTAACTTTACGGTGTCTGACAGATGAGCTGAGCTGCAATGTTAGGTTATTGCTTCACAACCTTCCCTTAGGCAACTCAGTGTAATTTGGGACTGTCACAAGCACCTTGTAAAAACTGTTGAATGCATTAGACGTGATGAATCGCAAACGATGCAGGCCTGGAAAATCATTAAGTATTTTGAAAATGTAAACTGTTGTCTATTCCTTTCTTTTCTGAACAGCCTTCACATGGATTCTAGTTTGTGACTAATGCTGGCAGTCCCTTAAATATAAAGAGCACAGCTTGTTTTCATTTGCCACACAAGCAGGAACTTGGGTAGAGAGTGACAACGTGGCGTTTCTTTCCTATTTCAAAATAATCTTAGCATAAAGAAGGAACGATGTTGTATATATGTACAAGCACACTTCAAATCTTAATCTTTATTATTGTAGTTGTTTGCCACTGCAAATTCATCTTTCTTTCTGACATGTCCACTTTAAAAGAAAGATTTTCCTGTAGATCTGCAGATTTTTCACTTTGAAGTAAGTCCCATCCATGTTGCATAGGCAACTAGCAATTATGCTATTGTTGAGGCTGTATGTGTGGCTGAAGAAAGGAGATAATGGCATTAAGTTGTGGATTTTGCTTTCTTATGAGAACTGGGAGTATAGTTAGAAGGTATGTGATACTGTAGCCTTGCTGAAACTAGACATGTCTGCATCTGGCCAATGCATGGTTGGGAGATCTCCTGAGAGCTGAAATATGTCTCCTTGAGTTCTTTGGCAGAAGAAACATGATCTCTAAATGTAATTATTTTTAAAAATTCAGTAAGAGCTGGTGTATCCGTGCATATTTGTAGGTGTTACTTGCAATAAGCTTTTGTATATAACTAGTCACTTTATGGCATGGCATGTTTGAAGTAGATGTGGCATAAAGGCATCCTTCTCGCTGACTAGAAAAGAAAATTTCCAAAAATGTTGAAGCAATGGGGGAGGGCTGCTTTAACAACATAAAATTCAAGATTTGTTATTTAGCATATAAAATTGTGTTACTTGATATACTCACGTAATTTTAAAGTATAAAACAAAATTATACATATGCCCAATGAGTGAGAGAGAGTGCAAACTGCTGCACCTTATGAGAGTTTAGCCCACATACTGTAGTTTTTGCCAATTGAAAGGTTGAAAGTAGAAAACATGAATTTGGTACTAAAACAAGTGTATTAATAGACAGAAACAACCACAATAGGACTAGCAGCATATTTGGGTATCAGGTTAAGCCTTATAATACTGGAAACAGTGAGGTCTTCATCAGAGATCATCACCCTTATAACATACCAAACGTAGACAAAATTAGTAACATTCAGACAAATGTATTCTTGAAAATATTGTGTACTTCTACAGTATACACATCAGTTACCATTCTATAATGCTGTAGATGGCTTCACATAAAAATCTTCTCACTACACATTTTAAGTGAGTAAATACTTGGCTGGGATTTGAACACATGAAACTGCCTTATACTGATTCACACCATGGCTTTCCAGGGGCTCAGGTAGAGGTCTATTTACATACCCTGTGGGCTCTTAAGTGGAGATTCCAGGGACTGAACCTGGGGACCTACTGCATGCAAAACAGCTTCTCTACCTCTGAAGCCATCTCCTCTTGCAAGTATATTTTCCTGCAGTACATTTCCATTAATGGAAGGGAGAGCAAATTTTTGCCATTTCCTCTGTCCTCCTTGAGCTGTTTCTGGAGTTCTCCCATTTGCCTCAAGAGCAGCATTTTGGGGAGCATTTCAGGTTTCA